GTTTACACAGCACATCTTTTGCTTTTTCCGCATCTCTGAAATACGGAGAGTACAAAAAGGATATCAGTGAGCCAATCGATTAAGAGATGAATTCGTAGTGGGAAAAAATTTTCAGAGAAAACAGTTAAGTGTTTCATAACCTGTAAATTCGTTTCCTACGAACTGATGGAAATTTTTAGGTCTTCTTTTTCAAGAGGTGGATTGGTAATTTCATTTGTAAAGCCTTCCAGCTTTCGTCTTCCCTCTACAGGTTACACGACAAACGTTTTAAGGGTTATAGGCGTGTTGGGAAAAACAATCTTTGGGCGTCCACAGAGATCTAAGAGGATACTACGAATTCAAAATCCTCGGCAGAATGAAGAATTTTCCTAGCTACGAAAAGGAAAGCAATGACGAAACAAAAAGAGCTGATCAGAGTAACAAAACACAATCAAAGCACTTACTTTGCGGCAGTTCCTTGCAGAAAAACGGTAAGCGACGGTGTTTTGGGTTTCTTCGAGACATTGATAATCTCTTTGAGTCGCGGTACACCAAGTGTAACGTTTTTTGCCGAGACACCAGCATAATGGAATGTGTTGAGGGTCATCTGAGTGGCCGGCTCGCCGAGACTCTGCGCTGCTATTGCACCGACCATTTCACCCGGTTGAACAATGGCTTGCTTGAAGCGTGATTCGATTTCGCCAATAAGCCATTCAAATCCCTCAGAGTTCAGCCGATGCTTTTCGGCCATTCGTTTCGAGCACAGTGTCGATCGTAACAATATATTCATCAAAAGCGTTGCATTATATTGAGCCTAAAAATGATATAGTAATTTTGCTATGCAGTAAATTTATTTCAGATTTTTAAGTTTTCTAATTTTCATTTTTCATCCTCCTTTTCCTCTTCTCTCTTTATTTCTTCCATTCCTATTATAACTTTCTATTGCTAAAATGGCGCGTTATTTCGAACTGTACCGAAATTTTTCGCAAAATCGTTGCCTATAAAAACCCAATTTGCCTAAAAGCAGTTCGGGTGGGTAAAAAATGCCAACCCTGATCAGTCGCTTGCAAAACTGTCATTGATTCAGTTTTTAATGTTTCTTTTAAAAAAACAGTCATTAATCTACTATGGAAATGAAACGTTAAAAGACTGAAATTCCAAATGACGGGGTCGAACCCTCGAGCTTTAGAATGACAGCGAAAGCAATGACAAGTTTTACCTGTTTGCTGATGCGATCTTCACCGCTGACAATGACGAGCTTTTTGCTAAGCTCTCGGATACCTTCGATCACCCGTAATGGGTTGAGGTCTGTTGGCTTTCGAAGCTCAACTCGGAATATTTTTTGCGCATTCCAAATCATCCGCTGCAGATTACAGGGCAATACGATTTTTGCGTCGCCCTGAAATTATCACCAGTTGATTGCTTGGGAGCTTTCAAGACGAAAAACGAGAAAACTCTAATTCCTCACATATGAAGTACCAGGAAATCCAATAAATCAATCTTGTACCTTGGGAAATATTTTTCGAAGCAAACGCCGATC